ATCATTTAGGTCAGAGGAAAATAGAATAATTCTACTTTTTTAATATTGTGTTTGCTAAGAATTCCAGAAATTCACACTCTAAAGTGTGTTCTAGAAGTAATTGAATTGTAATTATGATTAAAATCTCATTCAGTGAGCATAGGAATTAGAACACGAGCAAATCATTCACTATAATATGAAAATTTAACAGCTGATAAATTGGGGCGTTTGATTCCCATCGATCGTATTGCTTTTCGCAATGAGAATGATTCAAAACCCCGATCGACAGAATTCACGTTTCTGGGTGCCTCGAAATGGCAAGTTATGTGAAAGTGGCAGCATTGCGACATGTAAAGAAAATGATGAGCAGTTGCCAAATTCCGGAGCATATTCCTATAATTTATTACCGAAAACAGCTACCCTATATGAAGAGAAAAGCAATTTCCCACGTGTTCTCATTCATAGAAAGCCATTTCGAGAAAACATCTCAATGGAATAAATCGGATAAAAAACTCACTTTTTCTTTCCCATTGAACATTTTTACTAAAAAAATCCGCGCGTGTTACATTTCCATTTAAATTCTTCCAAATCGAATTCCCTCGTCAATGTCTCCTGCACGACGGGCAGACACTCGGGGCAGTAGTGATACAAAGTCAAGGCCCCACACATACATCAGTCGAGTCCTGACAGAGGCCATTCACTTTCCGCTACTAACCCAGATCTTAATTCAGATTTCTTTTATTTCGTTTCCACGCACTCGTTCGAGAACTTTTACCGTTTGAAAATGGCACGAGCTGGATTTTCGATCGGAATATATTTTCTCGATATAAATAAAATTCGCTTTATACCGGAGATTGAATGATGAAATAATCGCTCATAATGATCGCTGTCGCAGTGAATTTAATATGTGCATTGGAAATTTCGCTGTATGAAGATCTACTCATCATTGAATTGAGGGAAAGTCACATGGAATTGATATAAATAAGGAATGGTGCGATGGCCTGAACTGTTTTGCAGTGGATTCCTAACACTCCCGCGAGTTGTCACTTTCTGGTTTCGTCTGATGGGGGAGAAACCTCTGGAGGTAATTGTTAGTCTGCTGTTGATATTCGAGCGATTCAAATGCTCTAGATGACAATTTGTTGACGATGGATTATCTTTCATCTATTTTATTTTTTATTGTTGGGACGACGCTGTGCGGTCCTTTCGCAGGTGTAAATATCTGTATTTGGAAATTTTTAATTTTCAACAATTGGCCAGTTTTTGACGAATATCTCGGAATCTAAAAGAGATACAAAAATTTTTGTCAACACCTTTTTTGTAGCGCTAAATGAGGGTTATAAAAAAGGTCTTGAGCAAAATATTGCTATCTTTCTTAGATTCCGAGATATTCATCAAAAAATGGCCAAAAGTCAAAATCGACTTAACCCGGTTTAACGCTTCGTTACTGAATCAATTTCTCAAGAAAAAACAATAATCGCAACGGAAGAACGAAATCATTTTAATAGAATATCCCTTTCTGTCACTGCAATTCTACTCTTGACGTCACACTTTCTCCCACTTCGTCAAACTCCCGAAGTGGTCGATTGGCGTGACGATCATTCGGTTGGAATGGCCCGAGGGACCGGCTGATAATGATCATAACTCTTGAATTGGGGTACGTTTGTGTGGCGGGATCAGGTGGGGAACTTTGGATTGTACTGCACTGTAATGGCCTTCTGATCCATCACTTTTGGTGATTGAGTTGATGAAGACGTCCAGCACGTGTGAAAAAATTGTATAGAAATTTTCTATACGGATTGCGTATAGTCATCAACGATGATCTGTTTGCACAAGCCAACTTGCCGAGAAGAATTGGGGGTGTTGATGCATCGATCGATAACAGTCCGATGACATTTGTCCGGAAATTTGGGATAAATACCTCGAGCAAGATATACTTCTCTGTCAATCGTTTTAAAGTAGCTCTACCCTCACGGTAAATTCAAAGATTATTGAAAACTGCAAAAAAATTGCAGAAAACTCGATTAGATTCGGATTTCTCATTTTTTTCTCAATTTAATTATCGTTTTGGTTTTTTCAAAGAAGAAATGTTTAAAAATCAGGATTTAACCCAGTGTCTTATGTGAAAATCAACATTTCCATTGTAATCAAAGATTAAAATCAGAATTTTTTTTCATTAGATATGAAAAAATCATGAATTTTTTTGACACCTCATAAAAAACAAACCACCGTTTTGCAAACAAGTTTTATTATTTATTTATAAGAGGGAAATGTTTGAAAAAATATCAGTATTTTGCGAAATTTAATTTAGATAATACTGACTGGGTATGAACTTTTTCAATTTTTTTCCATGCAATTTAGTTGAAAATTTTTAAAACTGAAAATATCCAAAAATACAGCGTAGCCCGGCCGAAGGGTCGAGCTACTTTAAGGCGTTTCATGCGAAAAAGGTAAATAATATAAACAAAAAGGTAAAGGTAATATTAGGGAATTGTCTACGAATTTTCCTAAAAATTTTTTAGATTTCCTTTTCAAGTTATCAACGATTGAACTCGCTTCTTATAAATGGGCTCTTATGGAGATTTTTTTGTTTAGCACGAAACTGCGGTACCCTCTGAGCTCATAATATATGATTGTTCTCATCTCCATAATATCAATTAATTATTATTGAAGAAATAATTACGATGTTGATTAAATTGTTATAGTGCGACGTTTCGCCAAATTATTTTAGCTCCATCAGGCTCTTGACGAACGAAGTGAATGAAATGATCCGGATTAACGCTGTGCGTCGTTCGGGGTCATTGCCTCCGTGAATTTGGAAAATCCTGTATATTTTTACTGTTGACTGAGAGTTTGTTTATTTATTGTGGTTGTTTATTTATTTATTTGCTTGTCATGCGTTCCGACACAATTGATTCTAGAAATAGTTTGACTAGGCGTAGATTTCCGTCAAGAGACTGATGAAGTTAAAATAATTTAGCGAAGCGTCGCACTACGACAATTTAATCAACGTCGTAATTATTTCTCCAATATCCCTTGACCCTCTTATTATTAGCTGATAATATAGTTTCATGCTTCAATCGATAATAACATAAAAAGGAAATTTGAAAAAATTCTACGAAAATTCATAAATAATTCAATTCAAGTAGCGAAGTGGTAAACCGGTATAAGTCGATTTTGACTATCGGCCAGTTTTCAATAAATATCTCGGAATCTAACGGAAATAGCGAAATTACTGTAACTTCCTTTTTTGTAGCTCTCAATTTGCTCTACAAAAAAGATTCTGACAAAAATTTTGATATTTCCCTTAGATTTTGAGATATTTATTGAAAACTGGGCAGTAGTCAAAATCGACTTATACCGATTTACCACTTCACTACTGAATTGTGATTCCAAACATTCTGTATGAGTTCCGGATGAATTTTATTATTTACCTTTTCCCACGAAGCACCTTAACCCGAGAAAACTCGCGCCAGTTCACCGAGAACCTTTAGTCGCGCCGTGAGAGAATCTCTAAGGCACTGCGCGCACACTAGTTAGAGGTTCGAGCTATCCATGGGACTGATTTAGTTGCCGAGTATTACCGAACGCCTCACGGAACCGCTCGGCGCGAGCGAGCCAACCGAACGACTTTAGTCGCGCCGTGAGAGAAGCTGTGACGCTCCTCGGTCGAGCTCGAAAAAACATTTTTTTATAATTTATTGAACCATACTAGATGGTTCTTATTGATCCCAAAGGAAAGAGGGATCATTGCTTGAGGCCATCCAAAAGTTTCAGTTTAAAATCTCAATTTTTTTAGTATGTTCCCTAACCCTGAAAATATTTGTAAGAGAAAATCATAGTGCGAGTGCTGACGGGTTAATACTGTTCTTTGCTTGCCGCAAACTCCCGAAAAAAACTCAAATCTCACTGAGTTTTCCAATTATCTTCAGTATCTCATATCATCCTAGTCACGAAGACGCTTTGATGCATAAAAATAGCATCGTTGCTTCGGGGAAATGGTAGCAAGATATTTTGTTTCCATATCATAGCTGTTGGTCGCAGGGATTAATGGGATCCCTTTACGGATGAGAAAGCAAGCGAAAAATTACCAGACAAAATGACGAAGGACTTACCCACGCCAAGGATCGCCCTGCAAAGCCTCTCTAAATGTAATTCCGTATTTGTTACAGTTGATAGAACACTGAAAAACAAAACAAACATGTAAATCACAAAAATCTTTCACAGTGAAATCACAAAAAATGTGTCTACGAGTGTGTGAATTTTACCTTCACCAAAACCTTCCCACAGATCAACTTCCCGAGAAGAATTGTCAATGCGGACGCATCGACTGGCAACAGTTCGATGACATTTCTGAAGTGAAGTGGTAAACTAGCAGAAGTGCAGTTTAAAAAAAAATTTTCTATTGCTTGAATCGAAAGTTCTCTCAAACGCAGTCAAATTCTTCAACTCTCCTGAAAAATTTTCATTTTTGCACTTATCCTAGTTTACCATTTCGTTGCAGTTTGTCCGGAAAAAATTCAAATATCGCTGAATTTTCCAATTATCTTCAGTATCTGATATCATCCAAGTCGCACGAAGACGCTTTAACGCACGAAAACAGCACCATCGCTCCGGGAGAAATCATTTGTTTACATATCATAGCTGTTGGGCGCAGGGATTAACCGTCTCCATGTACGGATGAGAAAGCAATCGAAAAATCACCGGACAAAATGACGAAAGACCCCCACGATCTCCCCGCGAATCCCCCTAAGCGCAATCCGATATTTGTTACAGCTGATCGAGCACCGAAAAACAAAACAAACATGCAAATCGCAAAAATCCTTCACAGTGAAGTCACAAAAAATGCACAAACTCGTGTGTGAATTTTACCTTCACCTAGACCTTCCTTTCAACCGCCTCGCCAGAAGAGGGGATCTCGATATAAAAGCTGTCCCCCGAGTTACAAATAGCATCAGATACTGCATTTCACCACACCGTCATTACGATTAGAAGATACAGCACCGCAAACAGTACCCGACATGCGCTCGGCCGTAAGTTCACCCATAAATAATCGATTCAAATAAAGTCCCATCGAATCAATCACCAACTTTCCGAATTTCAGTTATTGTTCGGGCTTGTCGCCCTCACCTTCTCCACCATTTGCGCCAAAGAAAGGAGATCGGAGAACAAATTCCGGCGATACGGGCCATTTCCCATGAAGGATAAAAGAGGTACAGATTATGTTCCGGGTCATATATCGTCCGGCGCACCCTCCGGCCTCTTCCAGCCTATAATGGCATCCATCGCTGGTACCTCGTTGACACGAGCACTGGGTGGCTACCAGCATGGCTTCGATCAGGCCAGCGCAGGTCATGGTCCATCCCTCTCGCTGCTGGGATCCGCAGGCCTCGGGGCAGGTCATGGACTGAACTCAATGGGCATCAGCCTCGGCGGTCACAGCGGACAAGCGATCTACGCGCTTCCTGCTTCCTCGCTAATGTCCGCCTCCAAGACAGGCCCTGTCATGTTCACTTACCAGAACGGCCTAGGATACGGCGGATCCAGCTACATGAAGCCGATCTACTCGAGTGGTCTCCAAAGCCTGTCGACTTATGCTTCCGGCTCTCACGGGTCAAGCGCTCCCGTCGAAGCGGCTTCCTACGGAGACCTCTCCACCGCCGGAGTCCACGGCATCACCCAGCACTCCTCCACAGCTGGTGGTCACGGCTACAACTCGCCGGGATCGTCGGCGCAAGCGATCTCAGGAGGACTTGTCTTCCTGGAAAACCCCCACGGCTCTTCGTCCTACAGCCATCTGACTCCGTCCACCTCCAGTCAGGCATCCCCCAGCTACCACACGGGCTTGTCCAGTGGATCGTCAGACAGCTCCAGCTACCAACTGCCCATTTCCTCTCAGTCGTACCCCGCAGACGTCGGTGCGTACTCCAAGTACCGTCAGCCCCCTATTTCTTCGTCTGGCAGCTCCTACGCTATCGCCAACGCAGCGAACTCCTTACCCAGCACCAGCTACGGGATTCCCAGTAACAGTATCATCGCATCCCATTCGGGCGCCCATTCATCGGCTCCCACCGTCCATTATTCACCACCAGTTTCTTACATGCCATTCCATTCGACCTACAATACTGCTGCCTCAGACGACTCCGGTTCTAGTGTCAATTACGCTTCGCCAAGCGCCTCGTATTCGCAATCCGAGTATCCTAATCACTCGCAAGTGTCTTCATACGGACACTCCGAGCCACAAGGATCTTACTCACATATTAGTCCAGTTCAGAGCAGCCACGCCTCAGTGAAAGGGTATAATGATGAGTACTCAATTCCCAAATACGACACCATATCCTACTCCAGCCCTAGCGAAAAGTATTAAAGAACAAATGACTTATCTACTTTAGAAAATTTTTTAATGCTCATATAAATTTATTTAACAACCTCCTTCGTTAGATCGGATACATTTACGGAATTGTTTGCATTTTGGGCGGCACAATTCAGTAGCGGAGTGGTAAAACGGTTTGAGTCGACTCATCTACCAGTTGAGTTTTTGGGGAATATTTCCGAATCTAAGGGAGATAGCGAAATTTTTATATTTACATTTGTTGTAGCTCTCGATCGGCTCTACAAAAAAGGTTGTAATGAAAAGTTTCCTATCTCCCTTAGATTTTGAGATATTCAATGAAAACTGGTCAAGAGTCAAAATTGACTTGTATCGTTTTACCACTTCGCTACTCAATTGGTTGGTATTTCCGGGGTTTTACTTCTTTGTTAGTGGCAGTTCCAACATACAGGAAGTTTTACGTGCAGAATGACAATTTCAGTAGCAGATCAAAGCTTCACAATAATTTTTATTACATTTTAGCGGATGATGAGGGAACATCTTTGCCCTGTCACTCTATTTTCCAACGATTATCGTAATTTTTGTGCTGATAAGTACGTGTTGTTTTTGGATTTCGTAAATTTTTGTTTTATAGATGGAACTAAATCGCCCTGATGAGGAGAGTATTCAGCTCTCGAAACGTTAAATGCAGATGAGGTTTTCATTTAAATCCTCCCCACAATGGCCTAATGAAGGAGGTTTTTAAACAAACTTATCTATTCCCTCATATTTTTGTATTTATAATGTTATTTAACTCCAAACTACATGTCATTGTCGCCATTCACGCCTGTACTTTCATGCGAATCATGTTCTGAATAAAACAGTCAATAAAAAGAAGGTGAAATTTCAAGATCGATGGGCGTTTCTAATGACTTAATTGGCCGTGGAGTGACCGGTTGTGTTGACTCGAGTTCCACCTGTAAATCCGAATGCACGTTGGCCATGGGAGAAAATTATAAATCACATGAGCAACTTCCAGCAATAATCACCAGAATCTTTCTCGACGAAAAAATAGAGAAACGGAGTTGCGGATGATAAAAAAAATATGACAGCATCACTTTTACTTAAAAGTGTATGGAGAGTGATACTCTGGACAAACCCCTTTCTAAATTCTTGCTCTCCTGGGGAAGCTGCAGATAAGTGAACGTCATATGGCAGTGACCGGTCGAGAAATCTCGATTTATAACGTCAATTTGCAATTATTCCACACCTCGAATGTGTCCCGGAGGTCGCACGGGGGAGAGTGGTTGCTCCCTTTTCCCAAGTTCTTTCGTTTTTCTCGACTCTCCTTTTCGACTTGATCATCTTACCCCACATATCGCGTTCCCTTGACCACCTTCCGCTTCTCTCCGTCTCATTCCGACGTTCTTACTCACTCCATTTCCTTTCTCCATCCACCTCTCTTCCGCTCTACCGCCGGCGTCTGCTATTCCACTCCCCTTGCTGGTACTACTCTCACCGCTGTCGCTGGTTCGCTGGTGGAAGCGGTATCTCTTGTTTTTATGGGTCGCTATCCACGAATGGATAGCGCTCATCAACAAAATTGGAACTGACACCGGCAGGCACGATGAAAAGCCCAAACGCTGGGACATTGCTGAGTCATTTGTAGTGATATAGTTATGAATTTATCACCGAACGAGTTGTTATATAAATTGATTACATTAATATGTGACAACACGATTTAGTGATAGAGATCTCCATTTTTTAACGTGGAAAAGAACGAGCTTCATTTTGAAACTTATGATCGCACATTGAGAATTTTGAACGACTTTAATCCTACACTGAGAAAATAAATTACATTTGCCAAGTATATTTGCTAAACTACAAGAAAATTCACACATGTCTTAAGCAGATATTTATATAGATTTACTTGTGCCAAGTGAATATACTTGGCAGAAGCAATTTTTTTCTCAGGGTAGTCTGGTCACCAGACGAGTCGCTACGATTGGTCACCGTCGCGGGGAACGCCGTCGTATTTGGGCTTCAGCGTTGCCGAATGCACTCTACACTGCCCGGACGCGTTTAGCGAGGTCCCGGCAACGTCGCGTCATGGGCAATTTCATTTAACACGGGAAAAAATAACTCACCTGTTCAAAGTAATTTGTTTTCTTTAGGAATTTTGGGAAATATCTTGTTCTAAGAACTACTATAATTTTTTAGACACTTCAATTGACAAAGACAATTTTTTTTCAATTTGTCCGGTTAGCCAGACAATTGTAATTGAAGAAAAACGACGCACGTTGAAGAAATATTTTGAGGGTGACTTGCGAAAGTATTAACTTGAGGCATTCAAATAAGTCAACTCGAGTCTATGAAAGTCTCAACTTGGGACTTTCAAAGGGATTACATTGAGATTTGGAAGTCTCAAATTGATCATAAATATGTAAACGAGATATATAAATACCTAAAAGACTGTAAACTACAGATTTAGTTAATTTAACGTAAACTAAGGCAATGTAAAACACCACATCATAATTATGTGACAGTGTAAAAAACCGAGTAGATGGGTTCCATTACATCACTTTAATACAATAAAAAAACTTGAGGTGTTTCCGAAAAAAATTCTAAATTAATTTATTCCATTCTCACAAGTTATTGAGCTGTTCTATCCTAATATGTTGTTGATTACGGCAAAAATTACAGTTTGTCTCAAATAAGAAATGATTTCACGAATTTTTCATTTTTTTGAGTCGAATATCGCCACCCTATCGCATTCTATTGTCCTCCGAATGTAAACAGTGAGAGCCAAATAATTTTATTTCAAGTTTTCCAAGAAGTTGGCTCCGCACAGACCGACGAGTGGGGCCTCCCGAAAGTTGGGAAATTCGGGGAATTGAATTCCCCTATAGCCCCTGACTTTACAAACTATCGGAAATCCAGTCTATATCTATTTCCACTGAGGGGATCAGATATGGCTCCACCGAGGATAGTTCATGTGATTGTTAATTTATGCGAAATCCTCTTTGGAATTTGGAGAAACGTTTTCTGTCATCGATACATTCCGTCGTGTTAGATTATATGATAAAATAATATCGTGATATTGTGGTATAGTAGAAAAAATATTTCAGTAGCGAAGTGGTAAAACGGTTTAAGTCGACTTATCTCCCAGTTGAGTTTTTGAGAAATATTTCCGAATCTAAGGGAGATAGCGAATTTTTCGTAATAACATTTGTTGTAGGCCTCAATCGGCTCTACAAAAAAGGTTATAACAAAAATTTTGCTATCTCTCTTAGATTGCGAGATATTCATCGAAAACTAGCCAACAGTCAAAATTGACTTAAACCGTTTTACCACTTCGCTACTGATTTCATTCTTCGAAAAAATCAAAAGAATTTGATTTTTCTGTGCAATTTATTGGTGTCTTTATGCATACGTATGCATGTATGTGGTCTTTTTCTTCCTTTTTTTCGAAATTCTATCAAAAAGGATCAATCTCTATTCATTGACACCAATTAAAATTCAATTTTTCATACAGATCCAAAAAATTGATATTTTTCCAAAAAAATGGCCATCAAAATGGAATCAGTCGTGGCTCAAAAAATTGATAACAATACCCTCTTGACTCTATCAGAATATTATGGAGGTCGCACAATTCGTTGTTGAGTTACAGCACATTGTTTATGCGATTTGAAAGAGGAAATCGGTTTTTTCACGATTACTGAAAGAATCATCAGTAATGGCAATTAAATCAGGGCTTGAAAAGTATATTTCAATGGCTTCTTAATCAAGTTGAAAAATGGTGAGAACAGCATCATTGCTTATCAAGTTACACAATACCGTCATGAGCTTTTTATATAAAAATCTCTATCTCTATTAAACTCAGGTACCAGTCTATTATGTTGAATACTTATTCATATTGATTCATGGTCCCCACTAACTTCTGACAGAATCTGGATTAAACTCTGGCTAAATCCTGAATAAACCCTGATTAAATCCCGGCTATACACTGATTAAACCTTGATTGAACCTTGATTAAACCCGGACTGAAAACGAATTCGAGTCTTGAGAGGGTCTGAATGTAGAATTATTTGACAGAACGAAATAATACGCAAAATTTTGATGACATTTCAATTGATGATAGTACTATGACACGAAAAAAAAGAAGAAGAAAATAGTGAAATAAGAATTTAAAAAAAAAAACCCATTCAGAAGCAAATTGCTAATTTATTAGCAACAATAACCGCATAAATAGAAGAATTTTCCCAAAAAAACTCCCCACAATAAAACTATAGTCATGTGTGTGTTGTGACATGATTGATAATGACCGTGAACATGAAGCGTACGTGAACTATCGAAAGGCGTGGCAACATACGAAATGACGGTGTCCGGAGGAGTAACGGCACCTCCAGAGAAAGTGAAGCGATTAACCATCCTCTCTAAGAGACGCATTACCAGTGAAATTGAAAGGAAAAAAAATCACCAGAAAATGAATGGAACGACGACCGGAAGTCCATGTAGTTTGAACCCAATTAAATGGATTATGTTATTAGCTACAATCGGGTCTTTTCAAGAATTCGCCCACTTAACCTTTCTCAAATTGAAAGTGATTTCAACTCACGGCACCTTTCGTGCAAGGGGTCCCTGAAGAGTAATCCGTTTCTTTGTGCACCAGAGCAGACGTTCACGTTCCAAAGTTGCGAATGAGTTGTGGACGTAAATAGAAATGGGCTCTCCCACTTCCACTGCGACAATGAAAGTCCTTCTATTCTGCAGTCCTGAGCTGTCTAAAAATCAGGGTGATGAGAAATAATGATGAAAATTTTGTGCTATGACGAGATGTCAAGAAAATAGAACATTGGTTTTCTACTGAAAGAGAACGTACAGGTATTCACACTCATTTGATGCGATTCCTCGTCTCGCCAGCAGGAAAGTTGAACTAGTTTTGATTTTTCAAGTTAGCTGATATAAAGTCGAAATGTAATGCTTGTTGGTTAACGTCGATCCTCTAACGACGGTGCAGGCAACAATCCCCGTGTGGTTCCTCCCAGAAATCACGGCTTCGTTGAGATATACTCGAACGATTGGAATTAGACATGAGGTGTTGTACGTCTTCTGGAGTTCTTGGGAGGTTGTAGGGCGACTATCAATCAGAATTTTCTCATTTCCGTGGGAAGTATTTTTTTAAAGGACCGCTCGGAAACACGCACAGAAGGCGTGAATGAAGCTGAAATTAAATCCCATTCGGGAGAGGAAAAATAAGCGGGAAATCGCTGTTGTCTCCATGTACAGTCGGAAAGACAAGATTTATTTTGAGATGTATGATCTCGAATTGAGACTTTTCATCAGTGTTTTCAGGGCGAACAAACGATTGCTTAGGAGGAAGAAATAATTTTTACGTCCTTTTTCTGGTAATATTCATTGAATATTTCTCTCCGTGTATATTAAGAATTACTACGCTCCCACACTAAAAAATAATTTCATTCTTTCGTCCAATGAATTTTCCAAATTTTTTTTCAATATAAATGTGCTCGTTTCATTGGTATTGAGTTGTTCAATCGTGCGTAAAAACGATAATGAGAATAAAAATTGTAATGAAATGAAGTCTTCCCGTTTCTCTCTCCGAATTGAATTGCCCAAACTCTGCACATACCCGATGCTTTCCTCTCTCAACAGACGCCGCTCAACAGTTCAACGTCCCGAAGAAAGTGGCCTTGTGCTATCCTTCACTCCTTTTTGCCTTCCGGTCGATATGGAACAGGCAAAAAAGTTCTTATTGGCCCAGTCTAACACCGGCTTTTGCTGAAGTGAATGTATACAACTCTATTGCTCTTTAATGGGGTGAGATTCCCGTGCTTGCTGAGGACTAAAGAATGGATTACGCCGTTCACCATAGCGGACCTTTTGTACTTTCGTATATGAACGTTTCTGGAGTAGGGGAGAGGCTTTATAACTTAAGTCGAACAATTTCAGTTTCATAGTACAGCTAGAGCCACGAGGCTTTCATATTGTGAAGAAAAATCAGAATCAGAAAACTGTAAATATGGTATGTATTCAAATGCTGAATGGGATTTGAGAAAAAAATTTCGTCATTTTCAGGAACATGTCGGTGATTTTTAGGCATCAGTCACGAATCATTGGTGATATTGATCACTGAATGATGTTATCCTCATCAGTGACTTCTATCACTGAAATTTCGTGATAGATTCCTCAAAATTAGATATGAATCCTTGAACATTAGTAATATTCCGATTACGGAATCGTCTCGGAAAATTGAAGTGACGGTATCGTAATTTTTCACAGGAGATTCAGAATTACGGAAAAAAGACGCAATTTTCACTGAATATTTCTCTCCGCGCACCTCTAAATACCAATAAATTTCGGAAAACCCCACAAATTCAGTAACAATTCATTCACAGAAACGTGCATCCTACTTTTATTCCAAAATATTTCAATATTATAGTCTTAGAACAAAATTTTCTTAGAATCCTTCATTGCAAAGATGATTTCCTCCATTTTTGAATGTAAATTTTATTACGGCAAAGCTTTTAATCCTCCCCTGTGTCCCACACCTCTATTTTTCCTATTCGCCCCTTTAAATTCGTAATTTTCTCCCTCAGTGGAAATTTCCCCCGACGTGCCACACGAAAATGTGAAGTAAATCCCCTGTCGTTACAGAACGCGATAATAGTCGTGAGTCTGCTGGTCCCGTTGTCACTTGCCGAAAAAAAAATCAATTTGGAAGACATCGAGAAAGATAATCTCCACACGGAAAATCATTCACATTCGTCGCTGTTAAAGCCAGAATCTGACAACGGAGACGTACAATACCCTCACCGGTATTCAAACGAACGTGGAGCAGGATTAGGGAGATACACGATAATAGCGTCGAATCACGTGGAATATAACGTACGTACCGTACGTACTGTTATCCCAGAGTATTACAAACATTCCTAAATGTATTCGAATTAACTGAACAGGGGCAGACCGACGGTTACAACAATGTAGATAATGCAGATAGTGATATCAGATATCAGGTGAATACAGAGGATGCTGCTACCTCAAAATCACAACCCGCTGATGGCTATGATGACTCCACACCGCAAATACGAGTTGTGCCAAAGGTGCTGGGACAGGCTGATTATCAAGGGCATTTGTATGATTGGCCTCGAGCTGCTGTTGATGATCAATATCAAGGGGGTCAGCTGAAAAGCGCGGTAACGCGATACCCAGTGCAGGCACTCAGAGGTAGGCAATTGAGAAATATTTTTCCGAACTGACCTTCACTTTTCCGCATCCGGGGATTGGTATTGGCCCTTCCCCAAACTCGTAAAAGTGAAAATCACTACACTGATAGAACGGTTTAGTCGAACCAAACGAGACTTTTTAACTCGTTAACTATTAACGAATCGCGGTAACAGTTAAGAAGCCTCGTTTGGTGCAACCAAATGAGGTGAATCGTTCCACCTTTTCTATCAGTGTACGGAAAAATATCGTTCACGACTAGTGCCATGGGGTTTTTTAACTCGCGGCTATACACTGCACTGAGAGAAAAATATAATTCTTCTGACTATATTCCATCACCATCGAATTATAGTCAAAAAGTCCTCAACAATTTTTCATGGGCTACGGTAACTATGGCCGGAGAAGTAATTACTACTATGGAATGTAGTCATTGCAACTATTTTATAGTTCTCCTCACGATAGATTTGTCGTGGTTGCTTTTGAACTTGGGTTAGTTTAACTGCATTTTGATTTACAAAAATTACGCTTGTGAAGTTAATATAATGTTAGGTGCCGCATGCAACAAAAAATCGTATTGTTCACCAAAATGCCTCAACTATTTTCCTATTGTAAATGGAACTCCAGATTTTTCTCTCAGTGTGATTAAACCTTGATTAAACCCGGACTGAAAACGAATTCGAGTCTTGAAAGGGTTTGAATATAGAATTATTTGACAGAAATAATACGCTAAATTTTGATGACATTTCAATTGATGATAGCACTATGACATCACAAAATAGAAGAAGAGAATAGTGAAATAAGAATTTAAAAAAGAGAAGCCCTTCAGAAGCAAATTCCTAATTCATTAGCAATTATAACTACACTCCATATTCTCGCCGGGCTATAAGGATAAATTGCCAATAGAAATTGAGTGGAATTAAATTTCTATGAACTTTTCTCATGCGTATGATTAATTCTCTGAATTTTCAGAAGCCGTCTACATTCCGGCGAGCCAATTATTGGCGTATTCCCGAAATTTCTGGCTGAACCAGCTCGCTCTACCAAAAAATTTCGGCTTACTCCAGCACTTCAGTCCACAAGCTATTGAAAAATCCCCCGTTACGGTGTACAGACCGGCCCCAGGTCAATCTGTACACAGTGCGTCGAAGTACCTAGGGTACCAATCAGCGATTGACCCGCATCCAGAGGAGATTCTCCCACCGCAGGTTCTCGTCCATTCAAAAATCCCCCGAATGAATCATCGCGCTGTAAAATTAAACTCAAACTTGACTCGATATTTCTCCTTCCCCCAGCCGCAGGTACTTCTCACCCAGCCGCAAATCCAATATCTCCAAGAATTCATTTCGAAGCCAACGAATTCTCTCCGCGATCAGGCGGAAGTCAATCATGCGACAACTTACGCTGCTGCACCTGTCTACGGACAAGGCCAGACTGTTTCCTACACGCAAGGTCAATTGAGGCACCTCAGTAGCTACGATGAGCCCAAAAAAATGCAGTACAGCATACGTCTTACTAAACCTGTTTACCGGACACAAAGCGATCATAGTGACGAGCAGCGACATTTAAAGGTCAAGATTAAACAAGTTGGATAGTTAAATCACGTCTGCAAAAAAATCATACTCATCAGCCATTTACTGTCATCATATCAGCAATCGCAGTTTTAATCCACACGGAGAAAAATGTTTAGTATAAATTAGAGATCTCACAATTCGCTCACCGATTACGGAATCGACTTAGAAAATTTAACGGTATCGGAATTTTTCACAGGAGATTCAGATAAATATTACGGAACGCTCTGGAAAAATTTCGTGACAGTTCTGTAAAATTTCTTACAATCACATTTCGCTCCGGAATTACGGAAATGATACGTAAATTTTATTGAATATTTCTCTCCGTGCAAAATGAAAAAGGAAAGAATTAGGCAACTGCTATAGAATTTTCTAACGAATTCGTCAGGTTTTCTATTGAATTTTTGCGTACGTGAAATGGCTGAGGAGCACGGAGGGAAAAATTGAATAAAAATTACCAGAAAAAACGCAAAAATTATTACGAAAAAACGTAAAAATTAACCACCCGTCTGATGGCTCACCGCTGTGGGGACAACAAGTGGTTCCGTAATTTTTCCCCAACGATTGAGAAATTTTACGGAACGGAACGTAGAAATAACTCACCAACTTCATAAAAATTGTTGAACGTTCAAGAATTTTTTATTTTTGAGGCCCAATAAGTCGGCAAGTTTCTGTAAGATTTGACTTCTTCGGGAAAAATTGCGCCACAATTTCGTACTTTGTTCGGTGATGAACCTGAGAATTCACTGAACGTTTCAGATTTCTTCTCTTCCATTCCTATAAAAATTGCCGGAAAACGATTCCCCATTGCGGATTACGTGAATTGTTCCGTAATTTTTACTGAATATTTCTCTCGGTTGGAATAATCTAGGTGAATCACATCCGTTTGGTTGAACTTAATCTTGTCCATCCACAGATATCGAATGCACCGAGACAGGATTTGGCGGCCCCACCACTGCCCGAGTCTCCGAGTGATCTACATTCCGGTAGAGATGGTCATCAGCTCTATGTGCAGAATCACATTGATCATGTGCCTGAGCCGAAGTCATTATTAGGCTCGTACATTCCGAGTCGCGTAATCGCCGCGCAAGACACTGCTAGGTATCGGGAACGACCCTTGAAGCTCGAGGGTGGGTTCCTACCGTCTAAGAATTTCTTCCATGTTTATGGGAAGCGGAAAGCAAAATACGTTGAGTAATGAGACGACGTCGTAGCGCGATGGGCCATTCATAAGTACAATCCTACTATCGATTTGGAAAGTGTGAACACCTGGTGATGCAGGCTTTTAGATCTTGCAGTATTTCTCAACATCGGTATCAATATTTGTCGACGGGAATATATTGCAGATATACCAAATAATCGGAGGAACAATGAAGTCGATGAAAGACCTAGGGAATTCGGTAGAAAATTCTATTGAATTTCTATCGAACTTTCTGTTAGTTTTTGGGTGATTTGGGTGATCAGACATGTTCAGTGGAGAATATTCTGCAGAAAAAATAAATTGAATTCGAATTGAATTCGATTTTTCTGGACAAAGATTATTCTATTGAGATATTTTCTATAGAAATTCCTCCACTCGAATTTTCCAAGTCCTTATTTATTATGTTTTTTATAAAAAGAAAAGAAAACTGGAGAGTCGATAGAGAAATTTAGTGCTTTCTTTGAGAAATTCTATAGACTGTCTGTTGGCATTCTATAAGAATTCGATTGGAATTCTATTTTTTGTTGAGCTAATTCGCTTAAAAATTATGCAATGGTTCTTCCCATATTTTCAAATAGATATATGTCTATAGAGAAATGTCTATAGATGTTGATTTTGTTATACAACTTATTCTTTTGGGCTTTTTTCTACAAGAATTCTTGGGCAGGATTTTTTACATTTTTATCTTGGTTTTTATTATGGGGAACAAATAAAAATACAGCGGGAAAATTCAGAAAATTTACACCCAATAATTTCTTAGAGAAAGTATTAAGTTCTACTAAATTATTTCATGCGTGTTAGGGAATTCATGTCGAGGAATTTCTGTAGAAAATTTCTCAGCAGAAAAAGTTGAATTAAATGATGAAATTCTGGGGATTTTTCCTATAAAATAGTTGCTATTGAAAATTTTCTACAGAAAATAGTGCATTAAACCTGTGGAATCCTTCAATAGAATCGGCCAAAAACTAATAGACTTTACAATAGAAGTTCAATAGAAATCCAATAGAATTTTCTACCGAATCAGCTAGGTTTTTTTATGAAATTATTTCATGCGTGCAAAGTTTAGAATGAATGAAACAAATAGAAATGTATTTTTATGTCAACCCTTGACGCATTTTGAGGATAGAGAATACCTTATAATATTAGAATATAATTTAATAGCAAAGGGTGAAAAGTCTCACGAAAATCATTATCGATTTTTCGTCCAGTTACTATTTTTGTTTAAATTCACGCTATTGATTCAGTCATACATAATGTATTAATTAAACATTAATTTAATCTGAGATTGAAATTCCAGCAACGAATCGCCCAATCTAGTAGCCATAGAGCTTTTGCCGTTCATGCCATTTTGATTTTATAATTATTAGTCAGTAAGAATATCTCGGAAGTGATAGTAATAAAACTAATGATTAAAAAACGATAAATCTCAATCTCTTTCTATTTCCATGTTCTTCATTCCATATTTCCATCCCTGGACCGACTCCCAAAAATTCTGGTCACATACACTGAGAGAAAAACAGCAGAGTTCTTAAACAAGTTTCACTTGCGCTAAAAAAATAGTTTGCTAACAATTATCAAAAAACTCTTTTCCGCACTCGTTACGAAATATACTATTTTATCCTGAAAAGGCACCGTCTTGTATGAATGATCCGCCTGTTGAGCCAAATATTTCGTTGTTGTTAAAAGCAGAGCAACTATTCATGTTTGAGACTTTCAAATTCGAACCAAACAATTATTTTTTGACCCAAACAAGACTTGTTTGAGAACTCGTTCGTTTTTCTCTCAGTGTTCGTACAAACACACTCATGACCCGGTGGCTTGGCGCAGTGGGAGAGTGCCGCCGTGTTATTTAGGCTCCAGCGTTGCCGAATCCACTCTACACTTCCCGGGCGCGTTTAGCGAGTTCCCAGCAACGTCGCGCAACAGGCAATTTCATTTAACGCGGGAAAAAATTGTTCACCTGTTGGAAATAATTTTTTTTCTCCCAGAATTAAACATACAATATTGAAAAAAAAAATACTAGAATTTTCCAGATACTTCAATTGACGAATTCAATTTTTCTCAAATTTTTCCGGTCAGCCACTCGATGGCAAGGTGAATAAAACGACGTGCTGCCGCAATTCCCTCGCATGGTGACCAGTCTAGGGTTAAAGTCTTGATCATCATCGCAGTATACCCTAACCGGGTCGAAGCGATGTAAAATAACGATTAAAAAAAACACACTCGTGCAGACATGTCTTCAAAAACGTATCAGGATGATTCTAGAGGCTTTGAAATGTAGAGAAATCATGGAAATTCCACATTCGATTCTCGGGGTCATCCCAATAACTCCCTTCGGGTCGGGAAGTTTTCCTCGCCCTCTTAAGTTTAGCGGAGGCTGTAAAAAATAATCCGACCATTGAGGACGCTTTTACTTTTCTAATTCCCCATGTTTGCGCGGAGATCTTATTCCGCGATAAATTAACACGGTAATTAACTCCTGCCACGGTGTACCGAATGCGAAGCAATATGAGCATTCTATCCGACGCGCCGGATTCGATGCTCCACTCGAATGGCTGACGATCCGCTGAATCTCGAAATTTGATCGGGTCTAGCACGAGGTACGTGCAGACGCTGTGATTGCACGAGGACAATTCCATAAATGGATGCAGTTCCTGACGCAAATGTTCAATTAATTTGTTTGGAAAAATAAAATTTGATTCTCTTTTTGACCTGGATATGCATTGAGAATAAAAATTTGAATATCTGAAACGAATTTTTTTTTTTGGGACAATAATTTTTCTTCAAGCGCTTAATTCTCTTGGGCATCTTAACTCACGTTCCCAGCAGAAATTTCATGGCATTCAATGTTATAGGCACAGGGACTTTGCCTCAATGTCGCAGAATTTCGATCCATTTCCACTAGGGGTGGTCCGAGAAAGATCTCATACTTTAAAATATTCTCGTATTCAAGTGTGATTTTGTCGCGAATGAATTCACTCAATTCTTGTAGAAGAATCGTCGATTTTCAAGTATTTATTGTTTTCATGATTTTTTTATGCACTTCCAATGTTTCGATATGCAATATATTCACGATGTAAGGCGGAACGATAGTGATAAATGAGAATTTATTCGAGATATTTTTGACTCAAGTAAATTTGGTCTACATATTGGGGAATTTTCTCTCAGTGTAGGTTCTAAATTCTAGAAAACCGAAAAAATTCCCCAGTCTCTGAGAAAATTCTAGGAAAATATCTGTTTTTTTTCTGGAGATTGGAGAAAAATTCTCTAGCGAAACAATAAAACGGTTCAAGCCAACTAAGCCCTTAGCTGAGTTTTCGAGAAATATCTCCGAATCTACGGGAGATAACGAAATTCTCATCATAACGTTTTTTGTAGAGTGAATTGCGGAAATCAAAAAAGGTCATAATAAAAATTTTGCTATCTCTCTTAAATTCCGAGATATTCATTGAAAACTGGCCAATAGTCAAAATCCACTTAAAATGTTTCACCGCTCCGCTACTAAATTTAGAAAATTATTCAGTTTCCTAGAGAATTCTCTTAATTTCTTATTCTCTCTTCATCTGTATCATTGATTGAGTTCTTTCCTACCTATCATTCCCTTTTATAACCAATTCTACAACGCATTGACGAGTATATAAAATTTAATACATTTGAAATTAGAATTACGAATAGGGACCTTCGCCCACGTAAATGAGGTGTTAGCGAGAGCGCGCGCGTCCCGTCTAGCATAATTAAGTGCACATTTGTCAATATTTCACAAGTGATTCAGTTGACAATAGAAAGTCGCGTCAACTGCACAAATCGTCAACCGCCAACAGCTAAATAAATGACTCGACGCAATATACTGAAGTGCGAAAACATCGATAAACGAAAACCGACTCCCGCCGCCGTTCAACCGCAGCACATGGATTTTTGGAGGCCACGCAAGGTCCCACATTATTGGCAGATGTCTTCCCAGTTCCAGTGTAGGTAGTATATAACGTCTGACCAAAGTGAAACGAAGAGCGAGGGCATATAAGGTGGGATGCTGTAGTGGCAACTTTCTCAGTACCAAACGCACACGACCTGTCTACCGTGTCATTAGTTTTCGTGGTTCACAGCAGTATGAAGATTTTAAGGCTCTGCGTAAGTACCATCTACTTTATAAAATCAGTTAACACTTTCCCGAGGATATTTTTTCTAATTTTTTTATCTCAAAGCCTTCCGCACCGGGAAATTTCGCAGTCTCACCGCAATTTCGCGCTCTGTCCGCGTCCCCGCGAGCATTCGAGACAAAAAATGTGGATTGTTTGTGATATGAATTGTAATATAAACCGTTGCATCTAAATTATCCATTGTTTTCTGCCATTTTATGGGCCTATCTGGGCTTATTAGATGTTGGACGGAGAGGTGCATTAAATATTTGAAACGGAAAACACCGGAATCCATTAGAACTGATGAATATGTGATTTGTTTGGGGAAAGTTTCAAGTCCCTGGATACAATTATGATTCCAATGCGCCCTGTCGTCCCGGAGGTGAAGTGCGAACAGAGAAATACTCTGGATGCTGATTTTGCTTGAAAAAATAGTATTAAAAGTTTCGGCAAGCGCGAAAACATTCCGAAATGGCATCTGCATTTGAGCATTTCCCACGGCTTCTATTTCCGGTCAGAAGCTATTAACGGATATGCAGCCCTGACTATTCGACAATTTCGAGCGGTAATAAATCAGGAATAGTGCAAGTGTCGACGGGTAAATTGGAGCACCATTAGCACGTTCGTAGTTGATTTGAACTCAGCTTTTTAGGAAATTACAAAGATTGGATTGATTTCGGTGGAAATTTTCAGTAGAATATTTTTAGATGAAGAAAAATTATTTAAAATAAAATTTCATTGCAAAGAATAAAATCAAATTTAATCTAACACTTGAAAAAAATTTCTCGAAAGTTGAATGAATTTCTATTAAAATGTTTTCGCTCTCATTCGAAGGGAATAAATCATTGATTTGATCCTGAAGAGGATTTATTCGGAGGGAATTAATTATTTATGTCGTGTAATCCAAACATTTTCATTGGATTTAACACGTGAATTTATTAATTTCAAGTAACAATATTGTTGAATGAGTTGAACAATCTGAAATGAACAGTTTTATTTGATTAAAATACGTCGTTTAGCACTGAACCTAATCATTATAATTATGGACTCCCCTCACATTTTCTGAGGTCGTTCCGTAATTTCTCTCGACGCCTCGAGCTATTGGCACGTTTTCAATTGATTTTCAACTCTTAGACATTCTGGGATTCAACTGTTTTCAGGATGAAGATTTTCAACAGAATTGTTTTATCGAAAATTTGAAAATTTTTAAATTTTGATCCTGAAGAGGATTTATTTGGAAAGAATAAATTGTTTATGTCGTATAATCCAAACATTTTCATTGGAATTAATGTAGAAATTTATTAATTTCAAACAACAATATTGTTGAAATAAATATAAAAATCTCGAATAACGAGTTTTATTTGATTAAAACGCGTCATTTAGCGATGACGGAAATAAATTATTATAATTATAGAGTCCCCCCATGTTTTCTGAGGTGATTCCATAATTTCTCTCGACGCCTCAAACTATTAGGACATTTGCAGTTGATTTTCAATTCTTAAATATTCTTGGATTCAATTTTGTCATTATGAAAATCTTCAAGAGAATATTTAAACAAAAATTTAACCTTTTTTTAAATTTTGATCCCGAAGAGGATTTATTTAGAAAGAATTAATTATTTATCTCATGTAATCCAAATATTTTCATTGGAATTTTTTGTTAAAATAAATAAAAAAATTCAGGTAGAGTATTTAATTTTAATTTTACAATTACAGAAAGTCCCTCAAACATTTTCCGTGTTGAACCCATAGATTTTCTCAACACATCAAAATATTAGCACATTTGCTGTTAATTTTCAATTCTTAAATATTCTTGGATTCAACTTTTTTTATTATGAAAATCTTCAAGAGAATATTTTTAACCAAAAATTCGACCATATTTTTTAATTCTGACCCCGAAGAAGATTTATTTAGAAAGAATTAATTATTTATCTCATGTAGTTCAAACATTTTCATTGAAATTTTTCGTTGAAATAAATAGAAAATTTTCCAAATAAATGGTTTCTTTTCGATTTTATAATTATAGAGTCCCTCAAACATTTGCCGTCGTCAACCCATAATTTCTCTCAACACCTCAAACCAATGTGTCCCCGAGTTCGCTGCGTGAAGAAGATGTTTAACATCACGTAGCAGATGTGTTCTCAAAAGAACCAGTAGTGAAAGTCAAAGGAATGCTCTTCAATTCGATCAGCTCTTTGATGTGTAAGCGTATGCCCGAGTATTCCAACGAGAACATTTGTGATGTTCGCCAACGGAATTTTCCCCCATTACGAGTAAAATTTATTATATTCCCCACTGAGATCATAACGGCTAAAATGTAATGCACTCAGACAGGAGAAAGTCCTCCGGAAAAAATATCCATTCAATAATTATTATAATTAAAGCATAATTAAAAACAATCCCGAATTTCCGAGATTCCTAGGCATTACCATTTTGTTGTCGGGACTGACTGAAATATCGATGCTCAATTCCCGGATCATTACTCCTGCGTAAATTCAAAAAGAAAGTCGGTGAAATTGAGAATGCGAAGAGATGAAAGCCGTCTGCAAAAACAGCCAACTGACTCGTTATTAAATTATTTCAATCCACTGGCGCCGCCCTTTCATTATGCCCTTTTTCCTGTCAGAATCGATATTCCTTTTTTCAATTAATTGTTTATAATCATTCTTATTGCAAAAAGCAATACAACCGACGACAATCACATATCCCGATTTATCAGCAGTTAAATTTTCATATTACAATAATTGATTTGCTCATGTTCTGATTCCTATGCTGACTAAATAAGATTTTAATCATAATTACAATTCAATTCCTTCAAAAAACTTCGGAAAATCATGTACAAAAATTCGAATAGAATTCTTATAGTTTCAATAGCAATTCAACAGAATTTCTTAGAGAAAGCGCTAGGTTATTTTTGTATTAAATTTTTTCATACCTGTTATCTCCATTGAAGTTTGGAAAATAATAAAATTATTGGTAAATTCAATGTCCAATTGACTATGAATTGAATAATCAACAATCTGAAATTCTCAATTAACTACTGAGTAAACAATTCTAAATTCCATAAAAGGATTTTCGATCAGTCAAATAATCGTCAATCTCCCGACTCAATTACAGATTGATAAAATAATTCGGAATTTGAACATTCAATGGATGCTTAATCAAATAATTAAAAAATTGTCGAGTAATATTAACAATTGACTCACTCAAACCTCAACTCCATTTAAAATTTACGATTACGCCGATGTCTGGTTCCCATATCCTCTTCGAGATATCGCCCATGCTCTTTTTTAGAAAGGAAATATTACCTAAAAAGCACCCCCCCTCAATCCCAAAGAATTCCCGATGAGCGCATATCAAAATCTAGTTCCATGTTCCCACCACAAAAACCGTTTTTTCCTCCGCCAAATTAATTATGAATCCACCTAATTATGCGCAGCCTCAACAACTTTTACTTCCAAGCCGAAGAAAAAGCGTTGAGAAATTAATTAAAAATGAAATGTATCGGGGTTATTAATTCCCCCCGCATTGATTTCCAGGTCGCGCTGAACCTGCTGGTGATTATTGCCTCGGCTGATTCACCAGAGCCGACTGCGTCGTCTGTGAGCGACCCGGAGAAAGGCCCCCAGAGCGCAGAGACTCCCGCCAGCCCCGACGACACCGAAACCGCCGAGGAATCGGGCCGATCTGCAAAAGAAGCCACCGACCTTCCGATACTACCGCCGATAATTCTCCTGGACTTTGGGGATGACAATGCCACCACCTCCGACGAGAAATCCAAGCGCACCGTGGACAGCGGTCTGGGCTACGGTTACCTCCGCAACAACTTGTTGAACGGAAAATACAACTACTACTTCCCAGGGGGTAAAACCGGGACAACAGTGAGCATCGAGGAGTCGATAAGCCCGTTCGAGCCGAAGACGATAATCGAGCCGTTCAAGCCGATCACAGAGCAGCCAACTGTCAAGCAAGCGCGTCCGCACCAGCAGAGCCTCAACCACATGTTGAATCATCACCAGGTTTACGGGCAGCGCACGAGACTCCAAAAGTACTCACCCCCAGACGCCTACAACCCGCAGGGGTTCACCCCCTCGCCAAAATCCGGCGTCGCCTACACGACGCTTCGTCCCGAGTACAAAAACGCGCAGAATCCCCACTCAACCCCGAAGCCCCAGGAGACGTACCCATCAGGATTGAGTGATTACACCTCATCAAGATCGGTTTACGACAACTACCAGTCGACGCCGTCGCCGACGGCTTCCTACGACCACCAGAACACCTATAACCAGAGGCCCTTCGAGACGACAACAGCGAGACCGCTGCCCGTGGATCCCGCGGCCTTCAACCTCCCGCGGTACACAATAGAGAACGGAATCAAATACGAGAACAAGATCGTCTGGAGGTACCAGGACGGGCGGATAGCCAACGGCCCGCCGTCGTCCTTCGTCAACTCGTACTCGGAGTACTCAAGCCCTCAGGCGAGCCCACATTACCAGAGCCTACAGAGGAACCCGAGCCATCAGGCTCAAGACGTCCGACAGGAGACAGCTTTCTACGAGAATCGGGGTCAGGAAGGCCGGTACCAAGAGGCCCAGCCTCCCTCGTACCAGAATGCTAATCCCTATCAGAACGGCCAAGAGCCCGTCAGCAATATTCATAATCAGAGACCCGCGCAGTTTCCGGTTGACCAGGATTCCAGGTATCAGCAGCATTCGAGTTCGTCCGCTTACAGTTCTTCTCAGCCGCAGCCGTACGACCTCTCCTATCAGCAGAAGTACGGCTTCAGACCGAGGGAGAACCATCAGGCCTCCAGGTACGAGATGAGACCGGTCTCCAAGTACGCGGTTGACAGCCCAAACGCCGAGACGACGCCGACTCCGGATCTGCTGACTCCCAGCGGACAATTGAAGCCGAATTTGCTGTCTAAGTACACGCCGCAAGCGCAGAGGTACCTGACGAAGGTTTTTGGACGGAATCAGGGGGGGAAGGTGAGGGAGGAGTACCCACAGCCCACGCAGTACCCGAACAGTAACTACGAGAACCTTCTGAACTACAATCCGTCGATCTCGCAGTACATCAGGGATCCGTCGTCGATTCTCAATGCGCAGCCGACGTTCATTCAGGCGGGGAATTCCCTGATTCCCGTCATCATTCTGAGGGTCGATGGCGCACCGCCTGTGCAGACACAGCCCGCACCCAGCATCAACCTGAAGGCCCTTCTCCAGCAATACTTGAGCCAATATGCGGACAGCAAAGCTACTCTGAGCCAGACGTCTCGTTATGAGTACAAGGGAGATCGCAAATCGGTTGAGTACAGCAATCCGGTCAACGACTTGACGCGATTGGCTCATGTGCTGAGTCGCTACTCGCAGAAGCAGGAGATCGAGTCGCCCGGGGATTTTCCCACTCAGAAACTCGCGAATCATCCGCTCGATTATGAGTCGACGCGGTATCATGAGAAGAGCAGTTATGATACGATCGATCAGGAGAGGGCGCAGGCGAAACCCAAGTATGGGGCCAGGATCGGGGGGAAGCAGAAGGTGAAGAGCGTGCAGATCATCGAGAACTCCTGATTCTCGGATTTCATGAGCATTTTTTTTGGGGAAGTTATTTATGAGACTCGTGTGTACCTGATGAAAAATTATAATTTTTTTTTTGTGGGGGATTTGGTGATTGATGGGGACAGTTGGGGGAGTTCTTCCCGTGCCATTTTCCACTTCTCGTAATTTTGGAGCGAAGTGGTAAAAGGAGATGAGTGCTTTTTTTTAAATAAAAATTTTTGCGTGAATCACAATGAAATATTAATTTTCAAAGGGTAATAATAATGTTACGAAGTTCGAAAAAATTGACTTATCTTCTTTTACCAATTCGCTTGTGAATTGGTTGCAGTGGGGCGGGTTAAGTAAAGGTCATGGGATTAACGTTTGATGTAATAGCAAAAACCGGTTGCAGTTATTAGTCGATTGGGGACAGTCGGGGTTTTGATGTGGACACGTTTTTAACACTGTTGGAGCCGCACTTTCTCAATTTTTTAAAAATGAAGCTGTAGTAAAGTCTCGGAAAGCACGCACGAAAAAATTTAATAGAAAAACCCAGCGAATGCGTTAGAAAATTATCATAGAAAATCTAGATTCTAGATTCTTCCGGGGAATTCGAGAAAATTCTTCGATTTTACAGGAAATTTAAGAAAATTCGGAAAAATTCTCCGGTTTTCCAGAATATTTGAGAAAATTCTCCAGTTTTCTAAAAAACATACACGAAAAAATTTCACCTAGCGAATTCACTAGACAATTCTATTGAATTTCTATTGAACCTTCTATTAGTTTTCGGTCGACTCTATTGAAATGTTCAATAGAAAATATTCTATAGAAAAACTCTATTGAGATATTTTCAATGTAATTTCCTTAAAACAAAGAAAATCTAGCAAATTTGAGGCGAGGAAATTTTATCGAAAATAATCTCAATAGAATAAGTTGTATAGAAAAATCTAATTCTGTTGACTTTTGAAATAAAATATTTTCTATTGACCATTTAAAAAAACTTATAGAAAGTTCCATAGAAATCCAATAGAATTGTCTAGCGAATTCGCTAGATTTCTCTATTAAATTTTATCATACGTGAATTCGAGAAAATTCTCCGGTTTCACAGTAAAGTTGAAAAAATTCTCGGATTTTCTAGAGCATCCAGATATTTTCTACCGATACAGCCGCTTAGGATCTTCATGATTGGATCTTTGTTTAGAGCGTGATGAAATTTGTTCAGGGAAATTTTCACAGTAGAATCTCACGCACAGAAAAATCTAGCGAATTCAATGAAAAATTCTACTGGATTTTTATTGCACTTGTAATGAAAATTCCACTAGTTTTTGGCTGATTTCATTTTCAAGAATTCCACATTTTTACTCTACTATATATAGAATACGTCCCATATTATATAGAAAATATTTGACAATTGATGACAATTTCGAAAGCAAAAAATTTTCTTCTCGAAAATTAATAGTTTTTACATAATTCATGAGAAGATGATGATTTTAAAAACCGGCTATTTTAAATTATTGCATGAAATTATCGTACAAAAAATGGACTCTCTAATGTTTTGAATGTTTCTAAACGCTCAAAATGGGGAAAGTACTTGGATATCCTAAATCACCTCAACCGCCTGCTCCTTCAATCCCCTTTTACCTTCATAACATCGAAAAATCCTGAATATCACATGTGAACGCAATTAATGTATATAAATGTAACATGGGAACGTGCAATACAAACCGAACGGTTTTCTTCCTTTTAATAAATTCCATTGGTAATGGTGTATTCGTTAATGTGTCTTAATTACTTCATTACCCAGGCATTTTCTCCTCCTGCCACCGCGAAGATGAAGCGAGTCTACAGTGTATCATTTTCACACTTAATAACCCCAACGTTATCTCCACAGCGATTCATTTTCACTAGTAAAATCAGCGTATGACGTACATCTCGGTGATTTTTCTCAAAACCCACAAGTTTCATTTTCAGATTGAAAATGATTTTTTTTGTGAAATCTCAACGCTTTCTCGATCGGTTCAACGCCCTTATCAGACACAGCGAATTCGATACAAAATTCTATTGGAGTTCTTCACAACTTCTACAAGCATTCCTCCACGAGATTTTTTTATTTTTTTTTCTTTTCCTTAAAAAAATATACCTGAATTGAAATATTGAATCAAGTATATTTTATACTCAATTGGGGGATGGGTATTTCAATTCCAAGATAATTGTTTTGTATCAGGCCGGGTTGTAGCAAGCCCTCTTAAATGTAATATAAGGTTCAGGCACTAAGTGTCAGAATATAAGGGTCAAAAAGTGGAGGTTAACAAATGAGGGTCAGACTATTAAGGTCAAAACATTAGGGTCAAATTATAAAAGTAAAAAAAGTGGGTGTCAGGCAATGAGTGTCTAAATATAAGTCGTATATTATGCTTGATCAGCGTTTTCAGCCCTTATATGACCCTCATTGCCTGACACCCACTTTTTTTACTTTTATATTCTGACCCTAATTTTTTGATCCTAATATTCTGACTCTCTTTTTTTAACCCTAATATTCTGACCCTCATTCCTCCACTTTTTGACCCTTATATCCTCACACTCAGTGTCTGACCCTTATATTACACTTGAGAGCGCTTGGTACAACCCCGGCGGATACGAAATAATCATCCTCGAATTGAATCATCCATCCCCCATTCAAGTATATTGTATATTCGAATCGAGAATAATATACTTGAATCAAGTGTATTATAATTAAAATTGCGGCAATTTGACCCACGGAATTTCTACAGAAAATTTTTTAGTAGAATAAGATTAGAAGCAATTTATGATTTCCCTGAGATACAAAAATCCTCTAAGGAAACACCAAAATACAACATAATTATTATAAATGAATCTTATGAATTATTTACATTATTATAATTTTGTTTTATCATTCGTTATAAATAAGGATAAGTTGTACAGAAGAATCCAAATCTACTAATTTGTTTCTGCAAAATGTTTTCGTATGTGTATTGAACCACATCACGTATCGGAATACCCAAAGCATCATGAAGGTGATCCACACGCTGCCATAATAATTGGAAAACGTACACAATTTTATAAATAAACTCAGCATTTAATAGCCGGCTAGCGCGTTAATTTTATGTTTTCACATTGTAAATCCCGATGAATATCGCAAAAACAGTCGAGTAATTAACAGCCAGATTTTAATGGAAAGACTTGGTGTTTGTGTAGCCAATGTTTAATGTGCATTAGTATAAAAAGTACGTAGCTGCAGTTGCACGGTACGATAGATTCTATCCCACGTGCCCAACGCTCAATAGTAATACGTGTGTTTCAGAGCGAACAGATGTAACCATTGCAAAAGTAATGACCGACAATTGTTTGCTCATCGTTTTTGCCGAGTTGCTGAGAGTCTCCACGCGGAGAGAAAAGTTGGATAAAAATTATCTAGAAAATCATGGCAAATTTGGTGTACGAAAAGTCAACTTGGAGGGGAATTATAACTCAATACTTTTTGCGGAGGATCTGACGATTCGTTTGGCAAAAAAAATTAGAAATGTTTCGAAATTTCACGGAATTATAGTGAATTCAATTTAGGGGAAAATGGTCATGAAATTTTGAGTTTTAGGTAGAATTTGAAGAAATTCATGAGTTTTCAGGGGAGTCAGATGGAAATTTCAGGACTTGGTTGAATTTTCTATGGAACATGAATATTCAGAAACGAAATGATGTGAATTTTCATATTTTTCCTGAATTTTCCAGATTTTTCCCCATTTTCGCGGAATAATTGAACTGAAAAATCAAGTATTTTATTCATTTTCAGATCATTCGCCTAAAAAATCAATGGAATATTTTATTTTTCAATGACAAGATTTCCTGAAAGTTCTATGGAAATTGAACATGCTAAAAATTTTCGAGATTTGACAGGGAAAATTCAAACAAAAATTGTTCCCTTTTAATTTTTTTAAAATTCTTGTTTTCAATTTTTCAAATTTTTTGTAAAGAATTTTTTTCTGGGTCTGATGCGAAGGATATGGAGCCGGGCGAAAGTGAAATGTTACCGTCTCGCTTTTGGCGAAAAAAATAATTCTCCGCCACAAAAAAATTCCTGCACTAAAATGATTACGCAATATTGAAAATTCATTCATGTTCACTGGGATAATTTTTGATGGACTGCAAGGTAAATGTTATAGTTTCAGCCCAAATTACCCCGCGGTCAGTAAATTTTCCCGGGGCAACGGAGAAAAATTCGCTATTAGTCTCGCCCTTTTTCCCCGATACAGGGCAAAAAAATTAAAGACTCAAAAAAGGACGATTACAGTGTTTTTATTCAGAATTAACAGCAGGGGACACCGAGCGTATGGCTGTATGCCGCATGAGAGTAAACATGTCACTGAATGATGTCTTATTTTATTTCGCCATCAATACATTGATGGCGCGTTTCCCAATGCCCTGAAATATTACAGAAGTTTATAGCTTTACAGCACTAACTAGCAGGAAAAATTTTAGGTGTTTACTGCCACCCCCATGGGTGCTATAAATATTCCAGTGTTTCGAGTACTTCGTATGAACGGGTATACATATTTTCCGTCCAAATTTCAAGTTGATATCTCGATTTTTGCACAAGCTCACGTACGAAAAAATTGAATAGAAAAATTAGCGAACTCAATAAAAAAATTCTATTGCAATTCTCTGGGAACTCGATTGGGATTCTATTAAAATTCTAGGAAATTTTCGTAAAAATTCCATTCATTTTTAGCGTTGATTCAATAGATTTCGATTTTTGTATATAAATATCGGATTTTTTTCTATAAGAATAATTGGACACGAATTTTCCAAGTTTTTATCACTCGGATTCTGTAATGCAAAACAACACAAAATATAGCGCAAAAAATTAAGAAAATCTGTCTAATTTTAATAAAAAAAATCTCAAGAGAAAAATTCAAACAGAAAAATCGAAATCTGTTGTCTTTTTAGTATCAAATGTCTAAGAGAATCCGCGCAACAAATAAATAGAAGTTTAACGAGAATTCTCTAGAATTTTAATAGAATTATTTTAGAATTTCGGAAGAATTCCAATGAAATTTTCTAACGAATTCGCTAAGGTTTACTCATTTTCGAAATATTCCTAAGTTTAGTATATGCTTGGCGAAATAAATTGCCGACCAAAAATGTTTCACTTATTTTTTAATAAAGGAATTGACGACTGGCAAAGTGGCGGTGAACATGCTCATATGCAGACATGATCGCCAAACTTCGTATTTCTACGTTTCAGACTATTCTGTATCATTTCCAATCAAAATTAGAGGACGCGACAATTGGACGATTACAATACCTCCATTCGGAAGCAAAAGCACTGAAAATTGAGTTCGCTCCACGACTCCTCGACTTGTTCGGTAATTTTTCCCTTTACTGTTCAACAATAACAAAAAATTCTCAAATGAATCCTTCACCCGCAGAAAGAAAACAACTGACCAAGTGAAACCCCATTAACCAATCGTAATAACTATTCACTGCACCTATCCATCGATGTTGGGCGTGTTCTGGTACATGATTACCATAATAACAGTGATCCAGTACATCCTTCAATATTTTTTAACAATAATGGACAAGACTTTTACAACAGCGGTCGCGTGTCACGAATGAAAGTATCTGAAGGTGGTGGACTGCAGGATAATATTTAGAACGATATTTTTCACTTGGTTACCAGAGTGTATAAAGAAAATCGTATATCCACAATGTGGCTTAGTTCTCGTGTGAAGTTGAAACTGGGAGGATCTCTGGAATTCACGTTGTGCTCTGGTGAGGACGATTCGTTGGGATCAGATGTGGTCAATAAATTGTGCGCGAGCCATTGATTTTTGACAACTGTTGGGATTTTTTTCTACTAATTAGTTGTGACGAAGATGTTGGCGAATTACGTAAGTAGGGTTTTGATTTTTTGTGGGAAATATCAGTGACTGTTCGGACTTTTATCGATTTTTCAGATTTTATCAAAGATTTCGGAGGTTTTCTGGGGGTTTTTCAGATGGAAATGTTCAATAGAAATTATTTTATAGAAAAAAATCAGGATTTTCATCTCCTGAAATTGATTTTTTTCATTAATGCTTTAGGAACCATTGATTTATTAGTGAATATACTTGAGTTTTGTTTTATATTATTGAATAACAATATTCCCCTGTCAGTCATTGGACCCCAGGGTCCAATGAAATCAGAATGGAATTGACATTTTTATTATCAATTTTTTAATTACTTTTCAGTTCTTCAATTTAACTTTCTTGATTTTTTGAAATTTTTAATGAGAAAAAAAAACTCAGTGTCTAGCGCGATTGATATATAACATTGCACTTAACCCTCGAAAATAATTGAGAAACCCAAAAGATTCGCTTCATGCGCATTCAGTTCTCTATCCATTCACCAAATCCATCTTTTCTGAATCACGAATTATGTTTTCTCTGATTAGAATTTTCCCCTTCTAATTGGCAAACAAGCAGGAAATGCTTCTAACCGAACTTTCCTTTTTCCAGATGATTCTAATATTACTCTCTTGGCCGTGTGTGCTAGGCGTCCGAGAAAAATCAGAGGAAATACTGGACCAGATAGCATTGGCCTCAAAAATATCTCCAGGATCGTCAGCCCCTCGCGGCGCTTCCGATCCAAAGAGCCAAGTGTCAACCCACTCACCCATCGATCCCACGCCAGTATACTACCAAAACTCAAATGGATTCATCCCAATGATAAATTACGATTCGCTTAACCCCGCGGAGCCCCCGAGTCATCAATCGTCAACGAAGAACGAATCACAGAGTCCATGGTCGACCAATCCAGTTTTCTCCGCAGAAGCTCGTCTGCTCCTGACGCTACCCAATGCCCGCCCAGATCGCCGATCATTCCAAGAAGGCCAGAACGACTTCGAAATTCTAAAGGTCAACAACGAAACCCCCGCTATAGCAAACTACCATGAGTTCTACGAGAATCTCCAGAGAAATCTGCAGACAACCACCAGAGACACCAACAAATTCGTCAGCAATCCCTCAGCCATGCGTACGAGGGACCGCATAAGACTGATCGACGAGTACTTCAACAACGACCTTGACACGCGATACGGAAGAGCGCACAATCGTCGTTATCCGCAAAATTCCCAGTTGGACGCTATGAACAAGCCATCAGTCTTCGAACCGGAGAAAGTGCACAGTAATTACCCGCAATATGGAGCATCTAACTACGGCCTGTTCGGTTACAGTCCAGTGCCTCCGAAAGTATCAAACCCCGGAGTCTTGAGCTTCGAGTCTCACAGCTCGATGATGAAAACTGACAAGAAGACTACAGCCGCCAGAAACCGTCACCATCCTTCAAAGCCGGTTGTCATAGCCGACCCAGCTGATTACCGAGTCGAATCCAACTACAGTCCGCAACAAGTCATCGGTGAAGTGTCAACCCCCTACCCCTACGTGACCCCCAAGTACGAGAAGAGCGCGTCGGAGGACAGATACGACAGGAAAGAGGATTACTCAGACAGTGGCGATTACCTGGAGATAACCGAGCGCCCGAAGCGAATCAACAAGAGCCGAAGAAGACCGGAGAACGCCAGAAGACCTGACAGCAGAGACCGCGACAGCGACGAACCGAAGAAGATCAGCGGACGAACAAAATCCCGAGGCCGTGTGAAAACGAATTACTGGAACGACGAGCGCAACGAGAGTCCTGAAGACCTGCCAGACAACCAGACGCCCCAGAAGAAGTACCCGAGCCCCTCGAGCCCCCCAGAAGTGCCCGTAAATCCCCAGAACACGAACGAGCCAAACGTCTGGAACCAAGTCACCCCGAACGTGGAGCTGTCTCAGTCGAGCGGTTACGAGATCAATCAGCTAGAAAACCCGAACCTCCTGGTTCCAGTGAACTTGAACCTAGTCCCTATTTCCAACTTTCCACATGTCTCCGCCGCCGGAGTGTCAAGCGTGATAACAGCAACCCCGATCATCAGCAGCACCGCCGCCCCTTTGATCACCACAAGCTCCTCGATGCTCCTCCCAAAGCTGTCGCCGAATCCCCTGAAGACTTACGGCTACCCGAGCCCAATTCCCGACGTCATCATGGGACAAAACACATTCCACAGTCCGGTCCAAGCGGTCCTTTTCCCGCAGATGAACAAATACCCCCAAAACGTGAAAGCCCAATATCTGGGGAGCACTGTCGCCCCGATGTTCACGATCTCTCAGCAAGTCTCACCGACAGTGCGTGCTGTTCACAGCACTCAATCGCCAAAAGTAACAACTCCGGGAAATCAGTACGGACCACAGCTGTTTCTGCCTCAATCAACAGTGCAGACGTTGCTCCAGACACCCATGAACACCGGCAACTATAACTTCGTGGTCAATCGCGGTCAGGATCAGGCGCAGACGAACAGTCTGAAGTACGGAGACGACAAGAGGAATCCCTATCAGGGAGGAAACGCTCACATTCTGACGTCAGCGAGCTTCTCCGTGAGCCAAGATGGCGGGAACCAAGACAGTACCGGCAACATCAGGAATAACAACAACGATAATGACAGCAATAACTACCGACAGACGTCAAATAACGCGGAATACAACGCACCCGTTGGGAATTCGAACAATTTACAGAAGCCCCAGATCCAAGGGAATTTGTACCCTGTCATCAGAGGGGCTCAGGTCGTCCCGGCGATTATTCACGCGCCCGGTGGTATCTCCGGGGTTGATCTGCTTCAGAATCATGGACATCAGGCGCAATCCTCGATTGCCCAGCCGACGTACATAGCGCAGATACCCAAGACCTCAAACTCGCTGATGCATTCCAATATCTTTGATAGCAATTGGAGACTTCAGCAGGTGCAGGTCAACGAAGCGAACAAGAAAAGGTATCAGAGCGTTTATGGGGTTGACAGCCTGGGCAGCACGACCAACAACAACGTTAATACAGCGAGTAATGTGAGGAGTGGGAGTGGCTACAATGAGCAAGCTCATCTGCCAAATGTTGGCGTGCAGACTGTTGAGATAAGAAACCCGAATATCAACATAAAACCGAGTCCCATTGACTTGACAATGGTGAATCCACTGGAGACAGTCAATCATTATGCGACAGCTGTCCTGACGACTCCTATTCCGATACTGAGTACAACAGCCGGTTTTCTGACTCCCCGTCCGATTATGACAAGCACTCCGGAATCTATCAACATTCAGAGTTACGTCGACTCACTGACGCAGATTGGATCGCAAAGTAATCAAGGAGGCAGTCAACAGAATGTCTTCAATCCTATGAATTTTATCCCAAATTGGGATTTGATCAAGAGTCAAACAATGCTCAATAACAAGGTACACGTGCCGCGACCGCTGCCCCAGCAGCTGAGTCTTGTTCCTGTCGTTCCGGGCGGCAATTTCGATAAGCACTCGCCAACAGCTCAAGTGGACCTGGTGAACAAACCGAAACTCAGTTCGGATCTGGAAAAGTACGCGGAAGAGATGTTCAGAGAGTCCTTGCGAACGATTTACAACACTCACAAGTGGAATACGGATAAGAGAGTGCGAAATTTGACGGACGCAGATATCGCGGAACTGGAGAGGTTGAAGAGCGATTTGAGTAGATTCAAGACGGCTATGACGGGCGGAAATTACGGAAAGGATGTGCTGGAGGCGCACCATTCCGAGACGAAATTCCGAACTGTGGAGCCGGGGAAAAATTCTGGACTATCAGCAGCTGCTATGGAGCAACTGTTTAAGTCTGATTTCAAAATAAACGGACTGTCGGAAGGGTCTTTGCAGGATGGTAAGCACAATCGGGGGCGGGAGAAAACGAGGATAAGTGACTATTTGACCCCTCCCAAAGTCGGTTCATACACTTCTAAAACTCCCTTCCTGGATAATATCAGCAAAAAGCGCCCGGGCAAGGGTCCAAGATACGAGGGTATTAAGTCAAGACCACACTCAAAGACAAACACTAGGCCAGTCTCTCCGGATACTTCCGCTAGTAATCATGTGATATATTCTCACCGAAGACCGTCTCATGATCGGAGTAATTCGCAGAAGGGGTATAAAAAAAGTATGAAGCTGGAGGATTATCCGAGTCTCACAACGGCATTTCCGGATATAATCAGAGGTTCGAGTGATCACGAGAAAGTTCACGGAAAGGAGTATTTTGACATTAATCACCCGAGGATGCACAATTTGCTTGGTTTGTTGATGAAAAATAAACAGCTGCCTAGCAGTGGAGGTGCCAGTTATTTTTTGGACGAGCAAGAGAACAAACGGTACTCGGAAGAAGAGAGGCGTTATCAACCGGAGGGACAGTTTTACGATGATGGAGGGAATTTTCGGAAGAAATCTGATGCGTTTGGAGATCTCTCTCACGCGCTAAGTCCACCAAAGCTTGAAAACTTTCATCGATAAACCATGTTCAGATGTCGATTCAATATAATGAAATTATTTCGAAAGAAAAAATGATTGGTAATAGCACGGTATAGACATATGAGGATAATTTATATTTAGTTTTTTATCTTGCCAAAGTATAGAGGAATTGTTAAATTGGATGAATTCGCTGAATTAACGAACTTCATCACAGGCGCTTAAGTTGTTTCCCTGAATATTCATGCTATCAGTGGAATTCCCGAGGTTGATTTGATTAATCAAAGATAAATACTAGGCCACGCTCTCCAGACACTTCTTCCAGTAATCGTGTGATATATTCTCACCGAAGACCGTCTCATGATCGGAGTAATTCGCAGAAGGGGTATAAAAAAAGTATGAAGCTGGAGGATTATCCGAGTCTCACAACGGCATTTCCGGATATAATCAGAGGTTCGAGTGATCACGAGAAAGTTCACGGAAAGGAGTATTTTGACATTAATCACCCGAGGATGCACAATTTGCTTGGTTTGTTGATGAAAAATAAACAGCTGCCTAGCAGTGGAGGTGCCAGTTATTTTTTGGACGAGCAAGAGAACAAACGGTACTCGGAAGAAGAGAGGCGTTATCAACCGGAGGGACAGTTTTACGATGATGGAGGGAATTTTCGGAAGAAATCGGATGCGTTTGGAGAACTCTCTCACACGCTAAATCCACCAAAGCTTGAAAACTTTCATTGATAAACCATGTTGAGATGTCGATTCAATATAATGAAATTATTTCGAAAGAAAAAATGATTGGTAATAGCACGGTATAGACATATGAGGATAATTTATATTTAGTTTTTTATCTTGCCAAAGTATAGAGGAATTGTTAAATTGGATGAATTCGCTGAATTAACGAACTTCATCACAGGCGCTTAAGTTGTTTCCCTGAATATTCATGCTATCAGTGGAATTCCCGAGGTTGATTTGATTAATCAAAGATAAATACTAGGCCACGCTCTCCAGACACTTCTTCCAGTAATCGTGTGATATATTCTCACCGAAGACCGTCTCATGATCGGAGTAATTCGCAGAAGGGGTATAAAAAAAGTATGAAGCTGGAGGATTATCCGAGTCTCACAACGGCATTTCCGGATATAATCAGAGGTTCGAGTGATCACGAGAAAGTTCACGGAAAGGAGTATTTTGACATTAATCACCCGAGGATGCACAATTTGCTTGGTTTGTTGATGAAAAATAAACAGCTGCCTAGCAGTGGAGGTGCCAGTTATTTTTTGGACGAGCAAGAGAACAAACGGTACTCGGAAGAAGAGAGGCGTTATCAACCGGAGGGACAGTTTTACGATGATGGAGGGAATTTTCGGAAGAAATCTGATGCGTTTGGAGATCTCTCTCACGCGCTAAGTCCACCAAAGCTTGAAAACTTTCATCGATAAACCATGTTCAGATGTCGATTCAATATAATGAAATTATTTCGAAAGAAAAAATGATTGGTAATAGCACGGTATAGACATATGAGGATAATTTATATTTAGTTTTTTATCTTGCCAAAGTATAGAGGAATTGTTAAATTGGATGAATTCGCTGAATTAACGAACTTCATCACAGGCGCTTAAGTTGTTTCCCTGAATATTCATGCTATCAGTGGAATTCCCGAGGTTGATTTGATTAATCAAAGATAAATACTAGGCCACGCTCTCCAGACACTTCTTCCAGTAATCGTGTGATATATTCTCACCGAAGACCGTCTCATGATCGGAGTAATTCGCAGAAGGGGTATAAAAAAAGTATGAAGCTGGAGGATTATCCGAGTCTCACAACGGCATTTCCGGATATAATCAGAGGTTCGAGTGATCACGAGAAAGTTCACGGAAAGGAGTATTTTGACATTAATCACCCGAGGATGCACAATTTGCTTGGTTTGTTGATGAAAAATAAACAGCTGCCTAGCAGTGGAGGTGCCAGTTATTTTTTGGACGAGCAAGAGAACAAACGGTACTCGGAAGAAGAGAGGCGTTATCAACCGGAGGGACAGTTTTACGATGATGGAGGGAATTTTCGGAAGAAATCTGATGCGTTTGGAGATCTCTCTCACGCGCTAAGTCCACCAAAGCTTGAAAACTTTCATCGATAAACCATGTTCAGATGTCGATTCAATATAATGAAATTATTTCGAAAGAAAAAATGATTGGTAATAGCACGGTATAGACATATGAGGATAATTTATATTTAGTTTTTTATCTTGCCAAAGTATAGAGGAATTGTTAAATTGGATGAATTCGCTGAATTAACGAACTTCATCACAGGCGCTTAAGTTGTTTCCCTGAATATTCATGCTATCAGTGGAATTCCCGAGGTTGATTTGATTAATCAAAGATAAATACTAGGCCACGCTCTCCAGACACTTCTTCCAGTAATCGTGTGATATATTCTCACCGAAGACCGTCTCATGATCGGAGTAATTCGCAGAAGGGGTATAAAAAAAGTATGAAGCTGGAGGATTATCCGAGTCTCACAACGGCATTTCCGGATATAATCAGAGGTTCGAGTGATCACGAGAAAGTTCACGGAAAGGAGTATTTTGACATTAATCACCCGAGGATGCACAATTTGCTTGGTTTGTTGATGAAAAATAAACAGCTGCCTAGCAGTGGAGGTGCCAGTTATTTTTTGGACGAGCAAGAGAACAAACGGTACTCGGAAGAAGAGAGGCGTTATCAACCGGAGGGACAGTTTTACGATGATGGAGGGAATTTTCGGAAGAAATCGGATGCGTTTGGAGAACTCTCTCACACGCTAAATCCACCAAAGCTTGAAAACTTTCATTGATAAACCATGTTGAGATGTCGATTCAATATAATGAAATTATTTCGAAAGAAAAAATGATTGGTAATAGCACGGTATAGACATATGAGGATAATTTATATTTAGTTTTTTATCTTGCCAAAGTATAGAGGAAATGTAAAATGGAGTGAATTCGCTGAATTAATGATCTTAATGGTCTTAATCAGCGAACATTATTGTGACTGATTATTTTCTGTCTGAGTTCGCAGTTATTCCCGCAGAATAACTCTGGGAGAACATGTAAATACATTATAGACACTGTGTATTGTAATTTATAAAGAATTATTGAACCGATTTCTTTGAATAGTGTTTCATTCACCTACAATTAATTAAGCAAAAAAAGAAGAAAATGGGATCACTTTTTCGTAGTGAAAGTATGGCTGCGGAGGCATTGAATATATAAAAAAAAATTGTTTCTTTGACAGATTCGTAAGAATCACCTTTCACTATCTGAACTAATTAGCGTTTCCTTACCGGAAATAGCCAGTTCTCTAGATAGTATAATGAAAAGTGCAAAATTACAGTTCATGGACGGTTACATTTTTCATTTTCCTCGCGATCATCATCACCTCTCGCTGTCTGAAATGAAAGAGGAAAAATACTCGTCTGAAAAATAATTATACGAGTGGCAGAACAAAACAATCACTCCTTCTGACAATAAATTTCCGCAAAAATCACCGAATGAATCTTATTATCAATCAAATAGCGTATTTCGCGGTTCATTGCTATGACCAATTTTATGGAATAACACAAAAAAATTCAATGATAATTTTCATGAAAGTGACAACCGCTCCGGTGCTTCGCGCCACTGAACAACGGAATATAAAAGACGAAAATTTTATTCTAGACGGCTTAGTGAGAATCGATCATTCAAACTGAGAAAATGGGGACAAAATGGGTACGTCTGGATGGAGAGGAGAAGTAACGAAAAGTTGTGAGAAGAGTGAAGTAAAAATTAATAAACGGTGTACGACATAAATTCCGGGAAAATTTTTCATATTTCTTCTTGATTTCATCTGTAGAAAAATTTCACGGAAAAATCAGTGATTTGGCTTGAAAAATGTGTTTCATTTCATTCGAACTTTCCTTTAATTTTTGGAGGATTCTATTGAAACGAAAAAAATTATGTTGTTCGATTTTTCTCTATATTTTATTCGACTTGAGATGTTTTCTGTAGAAATTCTTTGGCTGAAATATTCCAAGTATTTTTATTGGATTTTTTCAATGGGAAGAGGAGAAAAAAACGAGTGAAGAAGACAGAAAATTGATGTCGATGAATTGTTACAGAAAAAGTTGTAAAGAAAAATGCTATTCTACTGATTTCTTCCAGAAAATAGTTTCTATTGGATATTTTCTATTTTAAAAAACGAGTAATGAAGCTGCGGGATCGTTCAATAGAATCGGCCAGAAACTGATATAATTTTGAATAGAAGTTTGAAAGAATTGCCTTATAATATTCGTTAGGTTTATCAAATATTTTTTTTCGTGCGTTTTCAAATAAAAAACTTCAAAACTGAATTTTACCCTCCGGTTACCTAGACCATACATTCATTTTTCGGTGATTTTCAGGGACGCATCTACGAAAAAAAATTTGTGAATTCGCAGGACAATTCCCTTGGATTTCTATTAAACTTCCTATTAGTTTTTGGCCGATTCAATTGAAAAGTTCAATAGAAAAAATTTTAGAGAAAAAGTCAATTGAATTCGATTTTATATACAACTTATTCTACTGAGATATTTTCTATAGAAACTATCTCGACTGAAATTTTCTAAATTTGTTTGATTTTCTTCCTGAAAAAAAATAGAATGAAAGAAACTTGGAAAATTTGAGCTGAGGAAAATTCCGAATTTTTAAAATTGATTATAAGTTTTTTATATATAGAAAAATGAAATTCTATTGACTTTTTGTATAGAATATTTTCCATTAAACACTCCAAAAGAATCATCCAAAAACTGGAGGAACGTTCAATAGAACTCCAACAGAATTTTCCAGCGAATTCGCTAGCTCTTCTATTCAATTTTTTCACCCGTTATTGTTCGGCAGAGCTAATTTCTTCCATCAGGGTAAATTCCCGAAAATCAATGACCAATCCCTGACCATCAAACCGTTTCCCGGCGTAGTCCGTCGATCACATGACGACTCACATTGCAGATTTTGCGGGCGGTGCTTCTGCTGGCAGCAGTACTCGAGAGTCTGTCAGCGACATCAAGACAGCAGTCGTCAAAAGTGACAACGCTCGCAGCGCCCACGTCATCGAGGGCCTCCCCCGCAAAAAAATTCAACACAACGAGAAAAAATACCTGGCAAACATCGAATAGTGACGCCGTCGTCACACCGCAGTACGATCGCCCGCCGAGACTGGCCGCATTCTCCACCACGATATCCCCGACCCCAAACACTATTGGCGTCTATCGTCATGCTGTTGTCCACACCCCTCACGAGTACTTCGAGCCCAGTCTCCCGCATCGCTACGCACCCCACAGTATTTCCGTGACTGAGACCCCAGCAAACCACTTCTCCAAGGCCCGGGGTCACCCTCTGTCCTCCGAGTCAGCTGGTGACACTCCGCAATCCCCCACCGCGGCCACATTTTTCAAGATCTCCCACGGCCCCGGCTTTCAGAGCTCAAATTATCCGCTCGTCATAAATCACGACGCGTACACGACGCACCCGAGTGCCAACGGCGAAATCACAGAGACGAAAGCACAATCTCGAGCGATGATTCCGGGATTTCATTATCAATCCTACAATCAACCCACCAGCACATTGGGAAATTACATTCCCCCGACGTTCGCCCCGAGTTTAGAGCAGAATCTCGGAAAATTCGAGCCATTTCCACCGTTCAAATACAGTCACACTAAGTCCGTGTTCTCCGGAATCGACGCGCCCGTCAACGGCAACAGAAGTCCAAATTTGGATTTTGGTCTGGGGAATTCGAATTTCATGCTGAAGCCCCATAATTTCTATCCCGGTAGTAATCACAGGGGTCAAGTGCCACTCTTCAGTGGCAGCGGTATGAATACTTTATATACAGAGGGAGTGGGGAAACCACTTGAGCCGTATCAGCCATTGTCCGCCCAGCCGCAATTACACTTCAATCATCATCTGTCGCAAGCCCCGTCTAGTTCTCAGACCTTCGGAAGAATCAACAATCATGGAGATGTCGCTAATGAACTTGATATCAATCAGTCGGGCAGAGGGGGCTCGACGCAAGGTGAGAGTCAATTTATTTATTCATTCCCCCGTGGAAAAATATATGAAAAATATGTATGAAGTACTCCACGCCAAATGAGTCAACCGCTGACCCTCGTGACCCTTTTGGAAATTGATGGCGATTTTTTCCACGATTGGGGGGGTTGACAAACTAGCTCTCTAATTTTTTCAGATTTTTTCGACAATTCAGTTCAGAGATATGATTTTTTTTACATTTTTCCGTTTTTTCGAATAACTCGAGTTCTATTTGTCCGATTTTTATTTATTCAGCGTCGAAATTTTCCATTTTTTGCCGCCTATATGGGTATATCCAGTAAATATTTTTTTTCGATTCCTAGATGCTCATAATAACGGATTTTCAGAAAAAAAAGTTGAAAA